CTTTTCTCATAAGGAATCACTTTATGGCTTCTCTTTGGCATATCCATATTGCCAGCATCACGACTCTTGTGCTGTGGGGCCAGTCGTAAATAAAATAAGGGTAACGAACACAAGCACTGCAATACAGTGACAGTTGATCTGATCAGTGAGACAGCTCCTAAGTAACTAAGGGGCAAGTAGTGTCTACAGCATGAAGACGCTGGACGAAGGGATGACTCACGTCCTGGGTGGAACAGAGCAAAATGGCGAGAGATTTCATTATGCTACTCAGAATGGTGTGCAATTTCAAACTTATGTTTATTTCTGGAATTTTCCATTTAATATGTTTGGACCTCAGATGTCCATGGGTAACTGAAACTGGAAAGCAGAACTGTGGTGGAGGTACTGTATTACGAGAACCAGTGGATTTCCTGTTAGTTGCCTTTATGTATATAATTGTATCTTATTCTTCCCATTCCGATTCTATGCTTGCACAGCATATTTGGCTTCGTGTATTGTATTCTATAGGGCAAGCATGCGCTGACTGGTCCACTTTGTCTTTTTTGGTCCTCAGAATAAATAATTGTGTGTACTGATTTTATTGTTTAGTCTCTGAGGTTGAAAGGTTTGAGCCTGACCCTGAGTGATGACTCTGTGCTGGGTATATAGAAAAGATCAGCAGGCTCAGCTTACCAGGCAGGAGCCTATATCCCAGTGGCCAGCCAGCCAGCACCAAGCAGTACAAGACTGTAAGGCCCTGGAGGGAGCAGCAGCGGGTGGTCAATCTTTGAGCCCCTGTGTAATTCTGTTGGCACAGGTTAAAGGACTTAAGAGCTACTTTCTTTTCTTTTCTTTTCCTTTCCTTCCTTTCCCTCCTTTCTTTCTGTTCCATTCCGCTTCCGTTCCTTTCCTCTCCTCTCCTGTCCTTTCCTCCTTCCTTTCCTTTTCCTTTTCCTTTTCTTGTTTTGGAGACAGGATTTCCCTCTGTTGCCCAGGCTGGAGTGCCAGTGGCGCAATCATGGCTTACGGCAATCTCTGCCTCCCTGGCTCAAGGGATCCTCCTTCCTCAGCTTCCCAAGTAGCTGGGACTACAGGTGCATGCCATCATTCCTGGCTAGTTTTTGTATTTTTTGTAGAGACAGTGTTTTGTTATTTTGCCCTCTCTGGTCTCGAACTCCTGGGCACAAGTGATCTGCCCACCTTGGCCTCCCAAACTGCTGGGATTATAGGCATGAACCAACGTGCCCAACCAAAAGCCGCCTTCTTTTTGTGACTTTCCACAGTGTGTTCTAGGGGAAAAAAACAAAAAGGTATTTCATAGATTTCACATACACTTTTGAAAAATCTTGTTCTTTAAGTGCTCATGGTATGCTGCAAGATATTCTGAAAAAATAAAAATCTGAATACATCTCCTAGCACGTTAAATTTACTCTCACTTAAAAGGCATAATTGGCTGGGTGCGGTGGCTCACACCTGTAATCCCAGCACTTTGGAAGGTCAAGGCAGGATCATTTGAGCACAGGAGTTTGAGACCAGCCTGGGCAACGTCGTGAGACCCTATATCTACAAATTTTTCTTTTAATTAATCAGGTGTGGCATTTGGGCACCTTTAGTCTCAGCTACTTAGGAGGCTGAGATGGGAGGATCACTTGAGCCTGGGATATCAAGGCTACAGTGAGCCATGATTGTACCACTGCACTCCAGCCTGGGCAGTAGAGTGAGACCTTGTCTCAAAAAAAAAAGAAAAAAAAAGGACATAATAAAAAGAGTACAGGCTTCTTTGCAGGAGACCTGGGTTCTAGACAAGCCTCTGACTAAGCAGGCCTAGTCTCAGACTCGTTATAATAAAATGGCAGAAGGGGTGATGGTGGTGAGGTGGTAATGAGGAATTTCCAGGTAGGAGTCTCTGGTAGTAATGGAACTCTATAAACTATTTTCAGCATTTCTAAAGTCTAATGGCAATTGTCTAATACTGGGATATTAAGCACAGGTTTACTAAAGCAATGGAGTTTGTTGTTTTTACCTGGAATTGAGTTAATACAGTATGGAAAAGCAGATTATCACATGCTCATCTGAAGCTTTGGTTGTCAGTCGTTCATGTCATTTATTAATAAACTGGAGAAATGAAAGCATGGGTTTGTTGGGGAGAAATTTAAAAAGTTAGTAAATTCTAAAATTCTACACTTCATTTTTCAAATGTACTAGTTTTACCCAATGAAGGTTCTTCATAATGAAGGTTCTTCATACATTTATGTGAATTTAATTTAAAAAACACAGTTCACATGTGTACATTTAAACTCTCTACATACGTTACACAGCTCAGATGAGAGAGTATTTTTGGAGGAGCCAACAAGTTCTTGTCTCTAGCCCTTTCTGAAACAGCTCCAGGCAACACAGTTTCTTCTGTTCTCAGATGTATGTGAGAGTAGGAAATGCTTAAGTTACTGCAGCATTTAAAAATTCTGGTCCATTAAATTTTCATTAGTTCTTATTTATGTTTCAAGAAATCTAGTGTTCCATATTGGGTGATTTCAATATTCAGTCAGAACAACAGGTGTTGATTCATTAAGCTTTGGAGTGCATTTCTCATCTTTGTGCTTCCTCCTGCTTCAATTCTCCAGAGCTACTTAGATTACAGAATGCTGTCTTAAATTTCGTGTTAGAGCTCTGTTGGTTTAAAATATAAAATATATTTTTATCACTTGAAATCAGTATTATCTGATACATAGGTAAGCAATATAATTCTTATATTTTCTAGAATATATATTTATTAGCTCAGAAGGGTAGTTTCACAATTTTTTGAAATGAACCTTCTTGTTTTAGCAGTTTAAATGTGTAACAACAGGGTTTGTAAAAATAAAAATAATAGCTTTTATGCTATTTATTAAAATGTAACATTTTCCCCTTACCAGCCTCCATTTCTGTGGGTTCTAATGACACTTATTTTTATGTTTCTATCTTTGTGATAATTTGAAAGGATGATGTTATAGTTATAGAAAATTGAACAGGTTTTAATCAAACATATATTAGTTTTTATAATTTGTGTTTAGCATAAAATCTCTTCTTAGACCTTATAGAAAGTAGTTATTATTATGTCTAATATTCTAATGACAGAGATGGCTATTTTATTTAAATATAAGAATTTATGTCCTCTAAAAAAGTAATGTTTTCATTCTTGAATATATTTAACTAATGATAGGTAAGTCTTATTTATTTGGTGACATTTTAACAATGGTTGGCTTTCAGAGTACAGTTAAGAAAATGGGATCTGACCAGGCACAGTAGCTCACGCCTATTATCCCAGCACTTTGGGAGGCCAAGGCAGGCGCATCACCTGAGGTCAGGAGTTTGAGACCAGCCTGGCCAACGTGGTGAAACTCCATCTCTACTAAAAGTATAAAAATTAGCTGGGCATGGCGGTACACACCTGTAATCCCAGCTATTTGGGAGGCTGAGGCAGGAGAATCTCTTAAACCCAGAGGCGGAGGTTGCAGTGGGGCGAGATCATGCCACTGCACTCCAGCCTGGGTGACAGAGCTCTGTGTCAAAGAAAAAAGAAAAGAAAAGAAAGTGAGATCTAAGGTTGGAGCCTCTCTGATAGCTCATTCACCAACTAATAAAACTGGGCCTGGCCCAGTTTTCAAGAATTCCAGAAGGTATGGTACTTGCTGTAGAGATGTAATGAAGTGTTTGTAAAATGTTGGTATGTCTGGTGACATTTAGCAGATGATTTTATGTGCTTATCAAGTTCTGTAGTGCATTTTAAAACTGGAACCTGTTATTTTGCTTCACTGAATACTAAATCATTTAGGAGCAGCCAACAAATAATTAATAATGTTTTTTGATTTTTTTCCCTGTATATCTGTGGAGGTTGGAAAGTTTGTTTTTCCTTTAAACAAATATTAGTCTTTCTCGGTTATGAAAGTAATGACACATTGCTTATGGATCACGTGTATGCTCCACACCATTTCTCACTTCTGTTTGGATACCATATAAGAACAAATTGGAAAATGATCCCACCTCAGAGATAATGTTTATCTTTTAACATTTATTCTTCCATATATTTTAATAAACACCAGGATGCTGTTTTCTTCACTTAACAGCATTATTAGGAAAAAACTGCTATATTGACTTAGCATTCTCTCAAATTGGAGAAAGGAAAAAAATGGATTATCTCAGTAATCCATCGGCCTAAGCAGTGTGACTGTTCTCTATACGCATTTTCAAGGCTGAGAGAGCCTTGGCTTCATGGCATTCTTTCCATGATTAGTCTTTCTACTTCTGTTCTTTCATTTGTTCAGTTTTCATCAGCTCAGACAAAAATGCCATGACTAAATTTAAAATTAGTTGATGCCAACATATTGTTCTAGAACCTTAGGGAAGGTAACTTACTGTCTTTGTGTCTTTTCCCATTCCCCTGTTCCTGATATCTAAGAAAATGTTTAGACTGGAAGCAGTAATAAGCATGCTATCATTCATTTTTCTGAAGTTTTTTTTCTTTTTTTACAAAATGCTTGGCCTTTAGGTGTTGTGAAGCTCCTTTTATACTTGATGCTCTCTTCTTGTCAGGACCTAGAAGAATTCCTTAGGATGAAGCTGAGTCTTACCAAGGTAGTTAATGGCTGTCGCCTAGGAAAAATAAAAAACCTGGGCAAAACAAGGGACCACACCATGGACATTCCAGGCTGCCTTCTGTACACCAAGACTGGCTCTGCCCCACACCTCACCCATCACACGCTGCGTAATATCCACGGGGTTCCTGCCATGGTTCAGCTTACGCTGTCATCCCTGTAAGTGTTAGAACTGATGATTCAAGTATCAACTCTGGTAGCAGCCTAATTACCTTAGGTACAAAAAAGAGAAATATTTTATTTATGTATATAATTTGTTGATTTTCATAATGAAATCAGAAGAGAGGTATCAAATATTATACATCATCTGGCCCTAAGCTGGATGCCACAGGCCAGACCTGTATATTAGATCTGCTTCAGTTTTCCTCCAGTCCTACAGTGCCATACTGCCCCATTGCCACAGCTCCCAGGGGTGACAGGGCAGCGAATGCTCTGTGAGAGCTATCCTTGGAGTTCAGGGGCTGTCATCATGCACCAGCTTCAAAGTTATTTCTGTCTTTGCACATATACTTGCTAGTACTACTTTATGGAAGCAGAGCTAAAGAAGTTAGATCATTTTGTGTAATATATATACTGACTTTATTCTTTTTTTTTTTTTTTTTTTTTTTTGAGACACAGTTTCACTCAAGTTACCCAGGCTGGAGTGCAATGGCGCGATCTCGGCTCACCGCAACCTCCGCCTCCTGGGTTCAGGCAATTCTCCTGCCTCAGCCTCCTGAGTAGCTGGGATTACAGGCACGCGCCACCATGCCCAGCTGATTTTTTGTATTTTTAGTAGAGACGGGGTTTCACCATGTTGACCAGGATGGTCTCGATCTCTTGACCTCGTGATCCACCCGCCTCGGCCTCCCAAAGTGCTGGGATTACAGGCTTGAGCCACCACGCCCGGTCCTGACTTTATTCTTAATTGAAAAGCCTACTATATGAGCAGTTAACACAATACTCTGTAGAATTGTGTTAATAACAGCAATTTTAAAGGGGCAAGAGAAAGAAGAAAATTCAAGTATTCTGAAGGAGCTGATCTTTACCAGTTTGATGTCTCACAGAACCACTAGCAAATTGAAGGCCTTTGTTCTGGCTAATGAACCTAGCCTAGTTAGTTAGAACTCTTGAATAATGGTGTAATTCAAGACAATATTTACTATGATGTAACTTATTTGGGTGAGGAGAAGAGGGCTTTAGTTGTACAGAGTATTCATACAATGATGCATTATTATGTTATGTATTTTTCTGTTTTGCTTATAGGGCAGAACATCATGAAGTCTTGACAGAATATAAGGAAGGAGTTGGAAAGTTTATAGGTAAAGATTAAGTTATGTATATGTGCCTTGTGATGTGTTAATTTGGAGTTTGGAGGTGCTATTGCCTCTTTGATCTTTCATTCATATATTTATTCAATCATAATTTTAGTAAGTATTTTTTGAACATCTAAGAACCAGGCATTGGCAAGTCAAGATTGAATAGGAAACAGTTGCTGCTCTCATGGAATTTGGAACCTGCTGGGATAAAGATAGAGACTTCTAGTAAAAATTGTGGTGACTGCTTTACAGGATTAGGGATATGTATGTATATTATGACAGGCCAGGGGGCAGAGCATATTACCTGCTCTGGCGGAGCATATAACCTGCAAGGTGGTCGGGATAAAGAAAGGATTTTTTTTCTTTAAGCCTCCATAAAAACCGAGAGAAGGGATTCTTGAGAGAGCAGATGAGGGGCATATTAACTGGGTCAAGGAAGAGTAAAAGTTACCCAGGTTAGGAGTGGGAGCCCAGTGGCAGTAGACAGGTGTGGGGTAGATCCTCCAGTCACTGAGTATTTGACTCAGCAGTGAGAGCTTGCATGGGGCATGTGTGGGCTCTAAAGTCATCTCATCATGCTTGAACCTCAGACATTCAGGGGAGGACAAAGCATTTATATACGGCTATATTCTGACATGTTAATATTATCCTTAATTCCAGAAATGGGGTTTATATGCAGATGTATGCATCTGTTTATTTATAGGGAAAGCTTAGCAGTGACAGCTGGAACACCGGTTCTTCTGTAGACCACTTTCTCCTGAAGCTTTTTCTGACATCTAGGACTTACTTGAATGAAAACCCTGTTCCCATTGGTTATTCAGTCCTCTGCTTCTGAGGGCAGCTGCATGATATCCTGTTGGTTATCACAAGGCCCTGTATTTTAGTAGAGGAATTTATGGAATATCATTCTCCTTGACCTGAGACCAATTTTAGTAACCAGCTTTAAAGTATACAAGCATATAATTAAGTGAAAATAGCTAATGTAAGCTTCTAGAGATAACTGTAATAACGAAGTTATGAAAAATAAAGTGAAAAAAACTACAGAGGTTTTAAACTTGCTTTGTTTATTTGTTTTTGTCTTTTTCAGTGGAATCCTGTTTTTGTTTTCTTAGCGAAAATGTGCCATAGCATATGGTATTTAAGCACACATGGTTTACTAAACATTTTTTTTCATTTTTTTGAAAAACGACTGTCTTTTTAATTGAAGAACCTAAGAAACTGTCATTGTGAATCAATGAAACTTACTAAGAATGAGATCCATTTGCAGTATCCTATAGCTTCTCTAAAATTCTGCCCCTACAGACCCATGATATTCTTGCAATTTATTGTTAGTGAGATCACCTTGTAGCCACATCATTGTATCTTTCCAGTATCTAGTTCCCCTTGGATGGTACCTGGAATGAACACATTTGATATTAAATTCTTTAAATAAAATCAAATGAGATCAACGTGTCACTAAATACTTTCATTATATATTGTGCTTTAAGATATATCTTTCCTTTGTAACAACTCAGTACATATTAGACATGAACCATTGTATTTAATTCTTTCTTTAGATTAGTAATCTTTTTATGCGTATTGATAGGCCTCCTATAATTCCAAGGTCCAGTACCACTTATTGACTATGTTTAGAGTTGCTTTATTCAGCAGTACACACTGTGAAGCTGTTCCCTGCTGTAATACAGTGTCATTGTTGATGTAAGCACTTTCAAGTGTTCTTTTCTTTTGTTTATACAGGCATGCCAGAATCACTCTTGTACTGCTCCCTGCACGATCCAGTCAGTCCCTGCCCGGCTGGTTATGTAACAAACAAGGTGTGTTTTCAGAAAGGTCTCCAAGGCTGCAGCTTTGTCCCAGAAATTCAGCCTATGGTGTATCCCTCAGATGCCCAGATCCCACTGCCTGGGACGATCGCTTATACCTTTTCCTTATTTCGATAATTACAGGGGAATGGGATGGTTTATAAGAGTTAGAATAGGGTTGTCTAAGGATGAGGTTAAGATGAGGAAAACCATATCCTCAGCGTTTTCATCGTTGCAAAAAAATTTGAGGGTAGAAGAGGGTCAAATACGTGCCAAAAAAAGAAAGTGCTATGATAGGGGAAAACAATAGTCTTTTGCTGCCATGCTTTTTTTTGAGTTTTAACAACTTCAGGAAGAGTGGGGAAAGTTGCTGATGAGTCTTATCACATGTATAACTAGTATAGTAGAACCTCAATATAATACTCTCTGCTGGGTCTACAGCCAGAGATTTTAGTCTAGCGAAGAACAATATCAAAAGCACCTCATTAAAAGTGTTCACTTGAGAGGTGGCCCCATTGGCATTATCCCTTAGGACAGCGTTCTGGCAAGGCTTCAGTGTGTACTGCTGCCTTACAAACGTGATTACTTTTCCTGCACTCACTTTATTAATGTCAGCGATATTTATTAATTGTGCCCCTAAGAACCCTATTTTTACTCATTCTCCTGTTTTAGGCTTCTATTTATTTTGTAGTTTGAATTCTGGAGAACATACTTGGACTGGGTGTGGTGACTCACGCCTGTAATCCCAGCACTTTGGTAGGCCAAGGTGGGTGGATGGCTTGAGCTTAGGAGTTTGAGACCAGCCTGTCCAACGTGGCAAAACCCCGTGTACATTAATACAAAAATTAGTCGAGTGTGGTGGCACGGGCTTGTAATCCCAGCTACTTGGGAGGCTGAGGCAAGAGAATCACTTGAACCCAGGAGGCAGAGGTGGCAGTGAGCCAAGATCGCACCACTGCACTGCATTCTAGCCTGGGTAACAGAGCAAGACTCTGTCTTAAAAAAAAGAAAAAAAAAGGGAAAATAAAATACTTTGACTTCCATTATCTACCCAAATTATAAGGGAGAGAAGAAGCATTTAAACAATAATTCTGATGCCTTAGTACAAAATAAAATGACTGTATGTTGGCTCTCCATCTATGTCCTTGTTGATCTTGTCTAAGAAAAGGGATGCTGTAGGGTAACCAAAGATAGAATTTTTTTCCCTTTTTTTTTGACTTTTGTTTTTGGCTCGGGGTAATGTAAACATTTGTTACATAGGTAAATTAGTGTCATGGGGGTTTGTTGTACTGATGATTTCATCACTGAGGGATTAAGCCTGATATCCAATACTTTTCTTTTCTCCTTCTCTCCTTCCTCTCACCCTCCACCCCCAAGTAGACCCCAGTGTCTGTTGTTCCCTTCTTTGTGTCCATGTGTTCTCATCATTAGCTCCCACTTAAAAGTGAGAACATGTATGGTATTTGATTTTTTGTTCCTGCATTAGTTTGCTAAGGACAATGGCTTCCAGTTCCATCTATGTTCCTGCAAAAGACATGACCTCTGTCTCTCTCTCTCTCTCTCTCTCTCTCTCTCTGTGTATATATATAGATATATATATAGATTTTTTTTTTTTTTTTTTGAGACAGCCTCACTCTGGTGCCAGTCTAGAGTACAGTGGCGCGATCTTGGCTCACTGCAACCTCTGACTCCCTGGTTCAGGCGATTCTCCTGCCTCAGCCTCCCGAGTAGCTGGAACTACAGGCATGTGCCACCATGCCTGGCTAACTTTTGTATTTTTAGTAGAGATGGGGTTTCACCATGGTGGCCAGGATGGTCTCAGTCTCCTGATGTCATGGTCTGCCTGCCGTGGCCTCCCAAAGTGCTGGGATTACAATGAGGCCCGGTGACCTCATTCTTTTTTATGGCTGCATAGTATCCCCTGGTATATGTACCACATTTTCTTTATCCAATCTATCATTGATGGACATTTAGGTTGATTTCATGTTTTGCTATTTTGAATAGTGCCACAGTGAACAATTGTGTGCATGTATCTTTGTGGTAGAATGATTTATATTGCTCTGGGTATATGCCCAGTTATGGGATTGCTGGGTCAAAGGGTAGTTTTTTTTTTTTTTTTTTTCCCCAGCAACAGTTACCTGGAATGTCTTAATAGGTAGTTTTGTTTTTAGCTAAAAGATAGAGTGTTGCTAATATCTATATTCTTGTGAACTAGGAAATTTAAGTCTTTAATTCTGTATCTAATTCAGTCTAGTAAACACTAGATATTAAAAGTGTATAGGACCCTAGACTGTGCTTTTGGGATACAAGCAGGAATTGGGATACTCTAGTCAGACAAATATAGAATGGTGTAATAAATGCTATCATTTCTACAAAAGAAATAAGTACAAATTACTGCAAGAGCATAGAGAAGTGATCGATTTAGAAGTTTGGAGATCAGATTAAATATATGAACTCAGTGTCTCAATGGACACACAGTATTTTGCCAGGTAAAGAAGTAGAAGTTCCAACATCTAGAAATAGTAAATACTGGAGGTAATGGATACTCTGATACCCTGACATGATTATTACATGTGCTATATATATAAGAAGTCTCACCTGTGCCCCATAAAAGTGTACAAATATGTATCAATAAAAAAAGTTTAAAAGAAAAGAAGAAATAGGAGTTTGTTAGTCAAAAGGAACAGTGTGATCAAGAGCAGAGATTCAAAGTCTGTCGTGTATTCAGGAACGGCAAGGGTTGGGTAGGGGTGGGGCAGGTGGGATGGGGAGAACGGAAGATGGCTAGAAAAGAGAACACAGAATTATTGGAGGCTACCTCAAAAGTTATATGACCACTGAAGGATTCTCTGTAAGCTGTAAGATCCTATTACCCACCATGTCTGGATATTGAATTGTCACCATCTCTGTAGTTGTAAAGAATTATTGCTTTATAATTTTAATTTTAATTGTTTTATTTTTATTTACATTTTACTCCTGCTAATTCCTCATCATTTTGCTCCATGGCAGTCTGCGTCTGTGTGGGGTGTTTCAGGACGAGTGGAAATGACTGTTTCCAAGTTCATGGCAATTCAGCAGGCCCTTCAGCCAGACTGGTTCCAGTGCCTCTCCGATGGAGAAGTATCTTGTAAGGAAGCAACTTCCATAAAAAGGGCCAGAAAGTCTGTTGACCGATCACTTCTCTTCTTGGATAGCTGTCTGCGGCTGCAGGAGGAGTCAGAGGTAAGGCTGTACCACTAACCACTCCTTTCTCTTGACACTCTGGCCTCCCTTACATTCTGTGACACCACCTTTTCTGTTCTTCCTTCTGCTGATGTGCTCCTCACTTCTTTGTCTACTTTTACTCTCTTTTTATTTTCTTTCTGAACCCTAAGTATTATTGTTCTCTGGGATTCTATCTTGGGTTTCCCTTTTCATTCCATTCTATATGTTGTCCCTGGGCAGCCTTCCCTTAGTTTTAATTACCGAATAATTCTAAAATTGTATATACTATCAAGATCATTCTACTTAGCTTTAGAACTATGGGCTGTAGATAGGTTATGTCAGTAGAATATCCCTCAACCTCAAAAGTGAATGGACTTATCATCTTACCTCCACAAGCCTATTGTTCCGTTTTTTCTTCCTCAATACTTTATCTCCATTTATGGCATCCACCAAGTTACCCAAAAATTTGAGCTTTTCTTTTTCTCTATTGAGTCTCACTCTGTTGCCCAGGCTGGAGTGCAGTGGTGCATCTTGGCTCACTGCAACCTCTGCCTCCCAGATTCAAGGGATTCTCTGGCCTCAACTTCCTGTATAGCTGGGTGTTGCTGGGTGTTTTTTATAGAGATGGGGTTTCACCATGTTGGCCAAGCTGGTCTTGAACTCTGACCTCAGGTGATCCACCTACCTCAGCCTCCCAAAGTGCAGGGATTATGGGTGTGAGCCACTGCATCCGGCCAAGAAATTTGAGCTGTTCAAGACTCCTTTTCTTCACTCATATTTAATAACCAACTGTTCACTCTTTTTTAATCCCATTTGCCTAAATATGTCTAGAATCTCCCCCTCCTTATGACCACCTTAAGCCATAACTGCATCATCTCTTATGTACATAATTACCTTTGAATTCTTCTCTCTGCCTCCATTCTCATTTTAAAAACACAAACATGAGCTCCTTGCCCACTTCCCTAAAAGAATTTAATGACCCTCCACTTCAACACTTACAAGGCATGGACAGCCTGCTATGATGTGGCCTCTGCCCGCTCCTCTAGCTCACTATGGGCTACTTTCTCCTGTGACTTGCACTCTGGCCTTTCTGAGTTGCTTGGAATTCCTTGAGGCATTAGCCTGTTTGAGCCCGTACACAGATTTCCTTCTGGACTGTTTCTGCTTTTCTTATCTCTAGCCATATTCCTTCTTTTGCTTTTTTGAGACAGAGTCTCACTCTATTGCCCAGGCTGGAGTGCAGTGGGGCAGTCTTGGCTCACTGCAACCTTTGCCTCCTGGGTTCAGGTGATTCTCCTGCCTTAGCCTCTCAAATAGCTGGGATTACAGGCATGCATCACCATGCCCGACTTATTTTTGTATTTTTAGTTGAGACCATGTTTAGTTCACCATGTTGGTCAGGTTGGTCTTGAACTCCCAGCCTCAAGTGATCCACCCACCTTGGTCTCCCGAAGTGCCATGTATCACTCAATACAACTGGTTCCTGATACTTCCAGGGAATTCAATTCATTCTTTGCTGCCCCTTTAATTAGTGTGTAGCAATATTTTAGTCCCAATCATATTGTATTGCAATGATTTCTTTATGTGTTTGTCTTTATTAAACTGTGGCCTCTTTAAGCTCAATTTCTGTGTATAATTTGCCTATCTTCATCACGCTCAGGGTGCCTGACGCATAGTAAGCCCTCAGTAAATGTTTGCTGATGGTGAATAGTTATGATGGGGTGAGGAAGATGAAGCTGTAGTGGTAAATCAGGGATACTGACATCAGAGTTAATTAAGTTGGAAAAGAATTTAGAGAATAGCAGAGAGGAGGGAACAGAAGATAGTGATCAGACGAGAGAATTTTAATATCTGAGATTATGTATGTAGAGTAATCCCTAACGATGATCACATCTCACTGTGGCAAGGCACATTGAGTTTGAGGAACATCATTATATGAATTTAGCCATAAACATATAATTTGGCTAATAACATTAATATAAATGAAATAATTAGAGGAAATATGGTTGTTCTGATTAGAATTTACAGTATCTGTAACAGGAGTTTGGTGTGGGGACATTGCTGTGGGTCTGGGCAGTTAGTGTTGGTGGCTTGCTAATAATTGTTTTGAGCCAGTCATTATCCTTGTAGGATTAGTAATGTTTGGGTAGGCAGAAAGCAGGACGGGGAGTGTGACAAAGATGATTACTAGAAAGGCCAGATGAGCCTCAAGTTCCTCATCTATGTTTTTGCAATCAGCCTCATTATTTCATATTACTTCTGCGTGTGTGTGTGTGTGTGTGTGTGTGTGTGTGTGTGTGTGTGTGAAGGAGTTTTGCTCTCGTTGCCCAAGCTGAAGTGCAGTGGTGCAATCTCGGCTTATTGCAACCTCTGCCTCCTGGGTTCAGGTGATTCTCTTGCCTCAACTTCCTCAGTAGCCAGGAATACAGACACACGCCACCATAGTTGGCTAATTTTTGTATTTTTAGTAGAATTGCTGTTTCACTGTGTTGGCCAGGCTGGTCTCGAACTCCTGACCTAATGATTCACCCACCTCACCCTCCCAAAGTGCTGGGAGTACAGGTGTGAGTCACCGCACTTGGCCTTACTTCTGCATATTTATTGGTAAATGCTGCAGTCTCTCTCCATATCCCTTATTATTATCTTGATATGATTATTAATACTGCCCCCCCCTTATTCTCAAGTGTTCCATTTTAGATAATAAATTATATCCTCATGCTTCTTACACTCGTGAAAGGGAGTTTCCCAAATAATCATGCTAGTCATGTTAAGCAGGCAGGCCTATGTAACTGTCTGCTTTGTATATCTGCATACCTCTTTTTCCTTTTCCCGTGATTCCTTGCTTGTCTTATTCATCGGCTCCTCTTATTCTGAATGCCCTTCATTATTGAAGCTCTCCAAGATTCTGTTTTTGGCTTTCTTTTCTTCTCCATATATTACCTGGGTTAGGGATGGCGAATGAGTTTCTTCCGAGTTATTGGGTCCAGCAGGAAGAGAGTCAACTGTTAGTCATGTCTACTGTGGAATCAGGAGTGGAGAGTGGTAGCATCATGCCGAGTGTCTGCCGTTCCAGCATGGGCAGTCTTGTTTGCATCACACATAGCTACACCTTTAGGTTCATTTAGGTTCAGTGATTAAGATTGCCATTTGTACATCCTGCTGATTCCTCAAACTCAGAACACACAAAACAGAGTAATCCTCTTGCCTCATCCACTGTTATTCTAGGAGTCCTTGTCTTTTGCTCTTATCACCATCTCCCTGGACTTGCAAAACAGGAGCCAGGAGTCATTTGAGACTTTGTCTTTATCCTCTCCTTGGACAACTAGTCCAAGTTATGTTGATCCTACTTCCTGATGAGGTTTCAAGTTTTATCTTTCCTCTTCATCCACATTGCCACTGCATCATTAGCCCAGGTCATCTTATCTTTCACCTAGAGTATTAAAGTTGTCTGCTATTCCATTCTTTAATCATACTCACCCTTAATTTATTCTTCACACGAGAGCCAAAGTGTTCTTTCTAGAGGAATAGTCTGATTATGTCCCTCCTGCTTAAACTGAAGAATGAAATTCCCTTTTCACAGTGTTCCAGGCCTCCTCTCCATCCATTTCTTCTACTGGAGAGCCATTGTTGATTTGTATATTTTATTGCAAAACTTATTTTTTGCAATTACATACACATAATTAATACATAGATATACATGGCTGTATTGCATGAGTATGATCATATATTCAGCAATTTGCTTGTTTTTTATTTAACAATATCCTGAAACTTCCTCTGTCAATGCATATATTGCTGTATCTACTGCATTCTTTTTAAACAGCTGCATAGGGAGCTCTACTGTGTGTGTATCATGATTTATATAAGCCTGTAGTCTATGGATAAATATTTAGGTTTTTTTTTCAGTTTTTCATTATTCTGAACATCTTTGTAAATAAACCTTGGTGCGTGTGAATGAATATATTTATAGGAGAGATTGTTAGAAGTGGAATTTTAGGATCCATAGATAAAAAAGCATGGACATTTTGATAAGTGTTGTCCACTTTCCTTCCTAAGAAGTTGAACTGATTTTTACTCTGTGTTTATCAGGGTATATAAGTACTGTTTCCCTTACAGTTTGACTTCCGCTATGTTGTTATCTGTGTATTAACCTTTTTGTTATTATATGGGCAAAAATGGTATCTCGTTGTTTCCAATTTTACATTATCTTACTAATGAGGTTTAGTAGTTCTTATGTGTATAGGGCAGTCACATTTATTTTTCTGAATTTCATATTTACGTATTATACTTAGATTTCTATGAGGTTGTCATTCATTTCTGTAGAGGATTTGTTGTAGCTCATTTTATGCTGTAGATATTTAACTATTTGTCCAAAGAGTAAGTTCTCCTTTGTTTTTGTTGATGGTTTATTTTAGTAGAGAAGTTTTATCGGTTTTTTTTTTTGGGGGGGGGGGGGGGTGTTTGTTTGTTTGTTTGTTTGTTTTTGAGACAGAAACAAACTGTCATCCTTGTCCTGTCATCCAGGCTGAAGTGCAGTGGCGCAATCTCAGCTCAGTGCAGCCTTTTCCTCCTGGGTTCCTGGGCTCAAGCGATTCTCCCCCCTCAGCCTCCCAAGCAGCTGGGACTACAGGCACATGCCACCACACCCAGCTAATTTTCGTATTTTTAGTAGAGATGGGGTTTTGCCATGTTGACCAAGCTTGTCTTGAACTCCTGACTACAAGTCATCCACCCGCCTCAGCCACCCAAAGTGCTAGGGTTATAGACATGAGCCAGCATGCCTGGCAAGTTTTTGTGCTCAAACTTGTCAACCTTTTCCTGTAAGCTTTAGCTTGTTTAGGAAGGCCTTTCTTACCCCAAGATTGTAAAAATATTCAATATATTCTTCTAAAACTTGTATAACTATATTTTTTATGTTTAGATATTAGGCCCATTGAATTTGTTTTTGAGGATGGTATGTGGTTGTGGTCTTTATTTTGTTGGTTTGTGAGTAGACAGTTGTCTCAACAGTTTCTATGTTCCTAAAGTTATCTCTAGCTAAGAGACTTGGAGGTCTCTAAAGCAGGCCTGGGTAGTCATTACACAATTTGAAACTCTTCCTTTGTCCTTTTCCTCTTGTACCTGCTTAGTGTACATGTTATTTATTTATGTAATTTTTTTTCTTGAAACAGGGTCTCTGTTAACCCAGATGGAGTGCAGTGGCACAGTTTAAGCTTACTGCAACCTTCGCCTCCCAGGCTTAAGTCCCCTCCCACCTCAGCCTCCCAAATAGCTGGGACTATAGGCACAAGCCACCATGCCCAGCTAATTTTGTTTTTTTAAATTTTTATTTTATTTTATTTTTTAAAGACAGATTTTCACTCTTGTTGCCCAGGCTGGAGTGCAATGGTGCGATCTCAGCTCACTGCAACCTCCACCTCCCGGGTTCAAATGATTCTCTTGCCTCAGCCTCCCGAGTAGCTGGGCTTACAGGCATACTCTACCACACTTGGCTAATTTTGTATTTTTAGTAGAGATGAGATTTCTTCATGTTGGTCAGGCTGGTCTTGAACTCCCAACCTCAAGTGATCCACCCGCCTCAGCCTCCCAAAGTACTGGGATTACAGGCATGAGCCACTGTGCCTGGCCGTTTTTGTTTGTTTGTTTGTTTGTTTGTTTGTTTGTTTGTTTTGTAGAGACAAGGTCTCACTATGTTGCCCAGGCTGGTCTTGAAATTCTGGGCTCAAGCGATCCTCCTGCACTGGCCTCCCAAAGTGCTGGGATTACAGGCCTGAGCCACTGCACCTGATTTAATTTAATCTAAGCCAGGACAAGACTACATATGTTGAATGCCTCATTTTCCTCAATCTTTTCTTACTTGATTGGTAAGGATGTTTTTCAAAGTATGTTCCTCGGAGCCCTAAAGGTTCTTGGGGAAAAGGGAGCATCATCCTCCTTAATGCTCCAGCTGCAGCAGGTTCACTGAGGCTTCTTTTCTATATTGGACTTCCATGAAAAATTCATTTAAACAAAGGTCTCTGTTACTAAAAATGGTTAAAAGCATGTCATCCTTTCTTACCTCAGGTCCTTCAGAAGAGTGTGATCATTGGCGTGATTGAAGGTGGAGATGTGATGGAAGAGAGGCTGAGGTCAGCACGAGAGACAGCCAAGCGGCCCGTAGGTGGCTTCCTTCTGGACGGTTTTCAAGGAAATCCAACAACCCTGGAGACTAGACTACGCTTGCTGTCATCAGTCACTGCAGAGCTGCCAGAGGACAAACCAAGGCTAGTGTTCAGTTAGGACACAGGCCAGCCTCATGGGATGCAGGGCAGGAGTGCTGGCGTATTGTATATTACATAGTGTCTGTGCATGCCTTTGATGTTTTGATTATGTCCTTTCTGGGCTGGGTCTGCTGAGGCACCAAGGCTCGGGAGTTTCCATCAAGGCTGTCCTGGCCTTGACTTCAGAATGTAAGAGTAGAGCATAATTGCCATGTGAATTATGTTATTTGATCCTCATAAGTGAGAGCAAGTATTATACTGTTTCCCTTCATTCTTGTGCCGATCACAAATATTGTTGTCTCTTCATTATAACGTGGTACCTGGAGACCAAGTATAAAGTCATATGGAACTCTGGTTTAAATTGAGGAAAGTTGAGGACGGATCAGGGATGACTAGTGGGATGAAGATGAGCTTCACCAACAAGAGCTTAAGAAGCTCTTAGATTTGAGGCTGGTAGTGAGTGGTGTCAGCTTTTGAAATTGAGGGGACTGACAACAGTAGTAGGATTGGTTCTTAGATTTCCATAAACTCCAGGATTCACCTTGTGCTGGTAAGAAAAGACGATCTGCAAGATTCAAGACTACAAATTCTGAGTTTCTGAATGCAGTTGATGTTGTGTTAGGCTACCTACATTTTTTGATGGCTTTTTTTTTTTCCTGAGATGGAGTCTCCCTCTATTGTCCAGGCTGGAGTTCAGTGGTGCAATCTCAGCTCACTGCAACCTTTGCCTCCTGGGTTCAAGTGATTCTCCTGCCTTAGCCTCCCTAATAGCTGGGACTACACGTCCGGCTTGTTTTTTTTGTATTTTTAGTAGAGACAGGGTTTCACCATATTGGCCAGGCTGGTCTCAAACTCCTGACCTCATGATCCACCCATCTCGGCCTCCTGAAGTGCTGGGATCACAGGCATGAGCCACCATGCCCAGCCATTTTTTAATGTTTTTTAAATCTTACTTAATGTGAATATTCATTCTTTTTCCCTGCATGTATATTAAGAAGTTTGGTTGTGGGTGCTGCTTTACACTCCTCTAGAGCTGTTGGATAGTATATGATATACATAAGTTTACCACTTTTTTAAAGATCCAGGTACAACTTAGAGGAAAGCATATGAATCTTACGTACAGCTCAATTAATTTTCACTTGTCTGCATTTGTGTAAACACCACCCAGAACAAGGTATTTTCATCACCCCAGCCAGCCTTTGCCTCCCAATTTTAACCTAGTTCTTTTGTGTTCATTGCTTGCTTTCCTATACTTGTTTCACTCTGGTGCACAGAACACGTCAGCACTAGTATTTCTAGTCATTTTCTGAACGTGTGCATGTTAAGTGCTCACAGATGTCTGTTACCGAATTTGAAAGCTGGGATAGTTTTTCTTTCTATAAGTGTGTAGAAATGCCAGCTTCAGTTGGATAGGAGTTCTAAACATTACTTTACTTGAAAGAAACTGTAGTCAGGAAAACCAGCATATAGTTAAGAGTTCTGCTTATTTAATATTACAGGAGCCTTTTTTTTTTTTTTTTTTCCTTTTCTGTGCCAGTTCGTAGCAAGGGGCTATAGGTATAAAAACAAACATAAAACAGAGCAGCAGCCAGCCAACCCTGATCTAGTGCATCTGCACACCTGTTTTCATGGAGTGGCAAAACCTGGCTCGGTGCCATTAATGTTCTCAGAATGTCTTACCTATTACAGGTTGAGTATTCTTTATCCAAAATACTAGACACCAGAAGTCCTTGAGATTTTGGATTTTTTCGGATCTTGGAATATTTGCAGGGCACATACTGGTTGGGCATCCCTAATTTGAAAGTCCAAAATCCAAAATTCTCCAGTGAGCATTTCCTTTCAGTGTCATGTTGGTGCTCAAAAAGTTTCAGATTTTGGAGCATTTTAGATTTCAGATTTTCAGGTTAAGGGTGCTCAACATGTACCTTGGAAAACACCATCTCATTCCACTGTGCAGATATTTTATTAATGGAGAAAATATAAAGAAAGCCAACAAGATTCTTAGACCCTATGGCAAGAGGTGAAATCCTGACAGCAAGAGTTGCTTTGTAAATTAACTTATAAAGGATATATTAGATTAAAATGTCTTTATTGCACCAATTATGAAAAGTTATTATAGGCAAAATACAGTTCAAACAAGCAAAATATTTCAGCAAGAAATAAAGCACACAGCTTTGCACTCCTAAAAAATCTATATAGTGTATAGAAGATAGACTATAAAGTTTAGTTTATGACCAGGGAGGCTGTTCAGAAAGAATAAGAGTTGAAAGGAAACTAACCTTTATTGAGCTTCTCTCTGGGATCAGAAACTATACTATCGGCTGGGCATGGTGGTTCTCGCCCATAATCCCAGCACTTTGGGAGGCCAAGGCAGGCAGATCACCTGAGGTCAGGAGTTCAAGACCAGCCTGGCCAACATGGTGAAACCCTGTCTTTACTAAAAATACAAAAATTAGTTGGGCTTGGTGGCACGTGCCTGTAATTCCAGCTACTTGGGAGGCTGAGGTGGGAGAATTGCTTAATTGCTTGAGCCCAGTAGGTGAGGGTTGCAGTGAGCCAAAATTGCATCATTATACTCCAGCCTGGACAACAAGAGTGAGACTCTCTCTCAAAAAAGAAAAAAAAAAAAAAAAAATATATTGTATGCTTTTTCAAATAAATATCTCATTAATCCTCGCAATAATTCTGTGGGGGTATATATTATTGCTTTTGTTTTTAAGATAGAAAACTAAAACTCAGAGAAGTTAAGTAATCATTCTGAAGTGACAGAGCTAGGGTTCAGGCCCCCGTCTCTCTGACTCCAAAGCCCTATGTTCTTTTTACTACACCTTGCTGTCCACTGCCTGACACTCTAACCATAACTGGTGTTTTTCATTATTTTTTTTTAAGTACCTTGTTCATTAAAAGGACTTTCAATTATAAAGACACATATACACGTATGTTTATTGCGGCACTGTTTACAATAGCAAAGACTTGGAAGCAACCCAAATGCCCATCAATGATAGACTGGATAAAGAAAATGCAGCACATATATGCCATGAAATACTCCGTAGCCATAAAAGAGGATGAGTTTATGTCCTTTGCAGGGACATGGATGAAGCCGGAAACCATCATTCTCAGCAAATTGACACAAGAACAGAAAATCAAACACCGCATGTTCTCACTCATAAGTGGGTGTTGGACAATGAGAACACATGGACACAGGGAGGGGAACATTACACACTGGGGCCTGTCAGGGAGTGGGGGGTTAAGGAGGGGCTAGCAGGGGCCGGGGGGTTTGGGGAGGGCTAACATTAGGATAAATACCTAATATAGATGACAGGGTGATGGATGCAGCAAACCACTGTGGCACATGTATACCTATGTAACAAACCTGCACATTCTGCACATGGACCCCAGAACTTACAGTATAATTTAAAAAAAAAAAAAAAAAAAAGGACTTTCTGATTTCCTTCCTTGCATTATCCTCATGTCACTCTTCTTATTGTTACTCTTACAGGCTCATATCTGGTATTAGTCGACCAGATGAGGTGCTCGAGTGTATTGAAAGAGGAGTGGACTTATTTGAGAGTTTTTTCCCTTATCAAGTAACAGAGCGGGGCTGTGCCCTAACTTTCAGCTTTGATTACCAGCCGAATCCTGAAGAGACACGTAAGTCTTTTGAAGTTAATTTCTTATCCTTAAGTTTCTTCCATTTCCTATTAATTTTTGGCTTGAGTCACAAGACAGAAATATGTATATACAAAGCCAGCCTTTTACAAAACTTCACCTTTGTTTCTTATCTGTGTGCTCTGGCATGTTGGCACACAAAGCCAGATACTTAATACTATACATGTAGCTCATCAATATTAGGATGTGATTTTATATTGAACAAAACCAGGAAAAACAAAACCTCTTCTGTTAACAGCCTGAAAAAAGAACATTCAGAGTGAATTGTGATGAAAATCGTAAGAAAACCTTTGAAGTGCTTGGTAAAAGTTAATTTGTTTTCTCGCAAAAGAGTTTTTGTCTTTTCTTTGCAAACCCTATGCTATTAAAATACAGGGAGACTCATGATCCTCTGATCCTAGTGTTACTTCTTGCATTTTGGTTTTTTGTTTGTTTGTTTTTTTAATACACCCAGCTTTGACAGCTGTCTTCCTCTGCTAATGTCGCTTTGAAGGACTGCCATTTTATTTTATTGTTTAGTTATTTAGAAGTCAAGAAAGTCAGTTTCAGATTCTAACACTTAACTGGTGGTAGAAAAGGAGCTGGGATACAGACTTTGGGCTGGAGTTCCTTGAAATATGTTTTCAGGAGAGTGTCACCTGCCCACTCTTCCCTCTGGCCTTCAGAAATGGCCTTTCCTTTTCCTTTTACTGCTGTCCTTGGAATTCTTCCTTAACCACATCAACCTTAAATTTGAATAGGACCAGAAACTTCCTTAAGGGTTCATTTTATTCCTCACAGGTAACTAAAATTTTATTCATATTGTTGTACTTTTAGAAAGCAACTTAACCATTACTGTAGATGGAATTACTCCTGGAAACAAAATAAATAAAGTCAATCAAATTCTTAAATATATAGGAGGTCGATTTTACTGTCCTTTTAGACAGACCAAAACATAATGTATATGGATAGGTATACAATTAACACTATAAATTTTCATGTCTTCATTTAAAAACTGAATTATTTCCACCAGAACAGAGGTAACTGTTAGTCATTCAGTACCAGGAATATGCAAAGCTCTAAAAAGAACCTGATTTGAGTTCTCTGTAATGAACAAGGTCATTTTTGGCCAGAGAAAGCCAAATTTCTTCATGATTAGGAAAAAGGAAATAGCGTGAACATTTAAACAAAGTATTATTGCGTGTGTGTGTGTAGTAAATTAAAGTCCTTTGCCAGTTATGTAGTAAGAATTCCAGAGAAATTATTTGGCAGCAATTCTTTCAAATGACAAGTTTTCCAAAATGTCAGGGCTTAAAAAAATTGTTTTTTTTTTCAGAAATAGGGTCTCACTCTGCTGCCCAGGCTGGAGTGCAGTGGTGTGATCATGGCCCACTGCAGCCTTGAACTCCTGATAAAAGAACATTCAGAGTGAAATGTGATGAAAATCATAAGAAAACCTTTGAACTGCTTGGTAAAAGTTAATTTGTTTAACTTTAATGGGCACAAGCGATCCTTCTACCTTAGCCTCCTGAGTAGCTGGGACTACAAGTGCATGCCACCATGCTTGGCTAATTTTTAAATTTTTTGTAGAGACGGGATCTTGCTGCCTTGTTCAGGCAGGTCTTGAACTCCTGACCTCAGGTGATCCTTCTCTCTTAACCTCCCAAAGTGCTGGCATTACAGGAATGAGCCACTGCAGCCAGCTGAGGGCTTTCTTATGGTTTCCCACATCAGTATGCAAATGTATGGGAACAAAATTATAACATCTCTGTGTCCAGTGCTCAGGTCGCTTCCCTTATTCCTTTGACCTTGATAAAATTACCCTCCTAAGACCACCTGTCCTTCTCCTAGGACCAACACTGAGATTTTTTATCATTTCTTCCCAAAATACCCCTTAACTACTTATCCCTATTTCAGGCAGTTGCCTTTTTTTAGAGTAGCTGGTGTTTCTTTTGCAGTGCAAGGAATGTTTCTTCCTAAAGCAGAGGGTTGAAGGGAATAATTCAGGTTGCCATTTAATTCTGGATAATCTGGGTTCCCCAGAGGGCCAGAGGCTCCATATAGAATACATACATTAAAACTGTGTTCTGCTTCAATCTATTTGGAATATAGGTAGTTCAAAGCCCAGTTTCTTTGCATGTACATTGTAATAAGGGATAGTGATAACCCCACCATACACACCCACACACACACCCACACACAAACAATGGTTAATTTTTGTTAGTTTATTTATTTGTTTACTATTAAATAGAGATGGGTCTTGTTATGTTGCCCAGGCTGGTCTTGAACTTCTGGCCTCAAATGATCCTCCCACTTCAGCCTTCCAAAGTGTTGGGATTATGGGCATGAGCCACCATGCCTGACCACCAACTGTTTTTTAAATCATTTCTTGATGGTAAGATTGTATGTTATGTACTTGTAACCATAATTTGCTTAGATATTATTGAACCTCCAAATTGTTTTAGTGTTGTAGTTAAGAGGTCACTGACCATCTTGGAGCATATTGCTGTTTTCCTTTTCTTGTGTGATTTCCTTAGGATAAATTCTCAGAAGCAAAATTACAGAGTCAAAGATCATAAAATAATGACAAAAGTAAAATGTTCCCAATGGCCACTTCTTATCTGATCATCATTCAAGGCTTTTTATTGGTTTGTCCTTCAGTATTACAACAAAATGGAACACAAGAAGAAATAAAATGTGTGGATGACATGAAGAAAATTGAAACAACAGGTTGCAACCAAGAAATAACATCATTTGAAATTAATCTGAAGGAAAAAAAGTAAGAAATTTTTAAAAGTTTGGATTTTGCTTTCTGATTTCTGAATTTTAGTCTGCTTTAAAAGTTTATGGGACTATTCTCAGTTTATGACTTCATAAAATATTAACAGTTGGGTATTATTTAGGCCTTCTCAAATTCAGTTTCAAAAAAACTTTTTTTTTTTTTTTTCCTGCAGTTGAATCTGTATGCTTTGTCTCAGCAAACTAGAGCCAGGTAATAATTGCCTTAGGAAAGCTGACAGAAAGATTAGACCAAATCCATTGTTTGGTATCTTTTATTCCTTTAGAGCATAATAAGGATTTCAAGATAAAACACAACAAAGTTTTAAATTATAGAGTGCTTAAGTCATCTTTGTTAGATACAGGTTATAAATCTTAAATAAAATATTTATCTCTACAAAGAACAAATTAAGATACAGATTGAATTGAATATCCTTTCTTCAAAATGCTTGGAACCAGAAGTGTTTCAGATTTCTTTTCTTTTTTGTTGTTGTATATTAGAACATTTACATTATACTTAACCTGGCCGAGCATCCCTCATTCGAAATCTGCAATGCTCCAATGAGCAGTTCCTTTGAGCATCATGTTAGTGCTCAAAAAGTTCTGAATTTGGGAGCATTTCACATTTTAGATTTTCAGATTAGGCATACTGATCCTATATATTGTAATTTTTGTATTTGGCCAAAAGCGATAATCATCAGTGAACCAGTGAGTGATTTTCCTTTGAGCCTATGTACGCACTTTAGTGCTGGGTTGAATTTTTTTTGTCTTATGTAAAGGGAAATCCTATGGCTTGTGACTTATTTATGTCTCTCTAGTGATAGTACAGACTTGAGAGTTTATGAAAGAATGTGAAAATCCTAGTTCTTACCTATATTCTGTTGGGACTCCTTTAATTGTAGATCAGAAATGGTGATGTCTACCACATTTCACTTCTTAAAAAATAGCCACAGAGATAGATTTGTTTTGTTTTTCTTTTCTTTTATCCTTTTTTTTTTCTGTTATCCACTGACTCTCAAATGATGTATGTTTTTTAAATGTTAGATTACTATAAATTGTTACTACTAAATTTCCGTTTATGTTATAGATTTAGTTGGAAATTGTACTTTATTATCAGTACCAGACTTTAAGCTTTTGAGGTTTGTAGACACATTCTAGCCCTGCTCTTGACTGGGTGACTTTGGTCTGGTCAATTTACTATTTTTTTTTTTTTTTTTTTTTTTTTTTTTGAGACAGAGTCTTGCTCTGTTTGCCAGGCCAGAGTGCAATGGCATGATTTCAGCTCACTGCAGCCTCCACTTCCTGGGTTTAAGTGATTCTCCTGCCTCAGCCTCCCAAGTAGCTGGGATTATAGGCACACACCACCGTGCCTGGCTTATTTTTCTATTTCTGGTAGAGACCGGATTTCACCATATTGGCCAGGCTGGTCTTGAACTCCTGACCTCAATTCACTTGTTTTTAATAGTTGTTTAAGGTAACACCTGGCCAGGCATGGTAGCTCACATCTGTAATCCCAGCACTTTGGGAGGCTAAAGATGGAGGATCACTTGAGCCCAGGAGTTCAACACCAGCCTGAACAACATAGCAAGACCCTGTCTCTAATACAGAAAATTATTTGGGCATGGTGGGAGGCAGAGGTGGGAGGTTGCGAGTTAACACCTATGCAGTGCTTAGTATTTGCCCAGCAGTATTCAAGCCCTTTTACTATGCTAATTCATTTAATCTTTGTAATGGTTGTCAGAGATAGGCATTATTATTACCTTTGGTTCATGCATGAGAAACAAGTCAGAGAGTCATTAAGTGACTTGCCCAAGTGAGTTGTGAAGCCAGGAATCAAATTCATGCAGGGTAGCTCCAGGGCCCTCCCTGTCAACCCCCATAGTAATCTTCGTTGGTAGAATGTCAGTAAAAATGGTTATCTCCAAGAGTGAATGCGAAGGTTAAATGAGACAGCGTATGTGAAAGTGTTTGGTAGACTGCAAAAAGCTGTGTTAAGTAGAATGTCTCCCATGTCTTTTGATAATAATTCTGGTGGTAAGTGGGAAAGAAGTGTCACTCATTTCTCTCCTAAATGTCAAACTTTAAGAAGTGTTTCCTAAACATGTGCCTTTACAATGTGATTAGCAATACTCAAAATGAGTGAGTGACCACATGAATTTATTCTGATGCTCCTTTGTAACCTCAAACTTGGAGTTTGCATCAGTCAGAGAAAAATTCCAGCGTCTCCCTGACTCGTCGTGTTCTTGGTTAGCTTTTTTTTTTTTTGAGGCAGTCTCACTCTGTTGCCCAGGCTAGAATGTAGTGGCATGATCTCGGCTCACCACAACCTCCACCTCCCAAGTTCAAGTGATTCTCCCACCTCAGCCTCCCAAGTAGCTGGGACTACAGATGCGCACCACCATGCCCGGCTAGTTTTTGTATTTTTAGTAGAGACAGGGTTTCACTATGTTGGCCAGGCCTGTCTTGAACTCCTGACCTTGTTATCTGCTTGCTTCAGCCTCCCAAAGTGCTGGTATTACAGGCGTGAGCCACCGCGCCTGGCTCTTTGTTAAATTTTAACCATATTGCCATTTTAAGCAAGTGCACAGCACTGAACATTTGCCAGTGATGTTATTAACCACTGGTAACCACCAGTAGAATGGATGGCTGAGGTTGTGGATTTCATGTATTCCATACTTTTTGGAATGTCACTGTGACTTCTTTCTCAGATACCAGGAGGACTTTAACCCGCTGGTGAGAGGATGCTCCTGTTACTGCTGTAAGAATCACACTCGGGCGTACATCCACCATCTGCTGGTAACCAATGAGCTGCTGGCCGGAGTCCTGCTTATGATGCACAACTTTGAACACTACTTTGGATTTTTCCATTCCATCCGGGAAGCACTAAAAAGTGACAAACTGGCACAGCTGAAAGAGCTCATCCATAGGCAAGCATCTTGAGATCTTGCAAATACGAGTCTCACCCTTCACACTGAGCCTGTCCCACTATTGTAACATGGGAAGACATGAAGAAGAAATAATCTGAACTTTATTTATATTCAGACATAGGGTCTGCTAAAATAAAGAATATTTGTACCAAACTGCCCGCATAAGGGTGAAGAGATTTCTTCTAAAGACTTAAATGAAGACCAGATGCGGTGGCTCACGCCTGCAATCCCAGCACTTTGGGAGGCCAAGGCGGGTGGATCACCTGCAGTCAGGAGTTTGAAACCAGCCTGGGCAACATGGAGAAACCCTCTCTCTACTAGAAATACAAAATTAGCCGGGCATGGTGGTACATGCCTGTAATCCCATCTACTTGGGAGGCTGAGGCAGGAGAATCACTTGAACCCAGGAGGCGGCGGTGCAGTGAGCGGAGATCATGCCATTGCACTCCAGCCTGGGTGACGAGCAAAACTCCATCTCAAAAAAACAAAACAAAAAAAGCCAAAGACTTAAATGACCTGGATTGATCAGAGAGAATTGAAACGTGACCTTTAAAACTTCTAAACTAATCCTTTTAGTTGATAGAGATTCATTTAGTTAAAGAAAAAAGCTTCAGCTGTGAGGACACAACCTTGAAGTGGGAATGATGAGATTCTGAGGGACCAATGAATTGGATTGAGGCTTAAGGGGAAATGACTGAGAGACGCATGACCTCTGGACATATACCTGTTGATTGGAGAAGAAATCTGGCTGGTTTGAGGGTTTCCTTTAGTTCATCCTCTTACTCTAAGGAGACTGTTGTGGATACTTTCATCTTCCACCCTGCCCTGGCAGTGCGGCCAATCAGAAATGGCTCTTGTGACTTAACTAGCTCAGATATCCTGAGAATGTGGGGCTTGAACATTGCTCCTGTGATTATCTGTCCCAGGTCACACTCCATTTGACCACTTGGCCTATTTGCAACTTCTTTTTAGAGCCAATACAATTGCCTATTAGGCAAAAGTTTGCCCAGCTGCTTTCATCTGGTTGTACAGATCCATTGTGGTCTGCCTTCCAGGCTCATTAATAGTCTAACCACGCAGTAACTGAAGCCCCATCTCTTGTGAAGATTCATTCTCAATGTGTTCACTTGGACAGAGCCCTGCCTGGCCTAACGATGAGAGGATTAGTTTCCATCCTGCTCGGATCTGACTCCTGGGCAATTCACTTAACTTCTGAATGCCTGTTTCCTGCTGAATAAATAGGGACAGGCATAATAGATAGGAATGAATGAACTTTTAAGATACTGTTTAGCTCTAAAATTTGAAGAACAAAATGTTTTAGATTAGAGTCATAGACGTAATAGCCATAATTGTCATCCTGGGAGACAGGTAACAGTAGAGATGTTTGAGAGCCTAAAGACAGGTTTTGCCTGTGGGTTTTATAATGGTTGTTGAATTGGTATCAGGAGATCCTGAGGCTGGTAGGGGAAGGTGATTCTTTCTAAATTACCTCTATATTTTTCAAGTTTTCTATAAGGCATACACATATACCCCCATGCACACACCATAGTTTTTAGACAAACAGCAATAACAAAACCAAAAAGATGCCCCTTTTTTTGTAGGGGTAAGAAGTGTGCACTTGTTTTATATTCCTATGCTATATTTTGCTCTTTGTTCAACATTTAGTGGGCATTACTTAATAGTGCTTCTAATTATTTGGTGGCTGCTGTATGCTTTATGTGTTGGGAGCCCATTATATTAGGCTATCCTTGGATTGCTATAAAGAAACACCTGAGACTGGGTAATTTGTAAAGAAAAGAGGTTTCATTGGCTCACGGCTCTGCAGGCTTTACAGGAAGCATGGTACTGGCATCTGCTTGGCTTCTGGGGAGGCCTCAGGAAGCTTAACATCATGGCAGAAGGTGAAGAGGGAGCAGGCACATCACATGACAAAAGCAGGAACAAGACTCAGAGCAAGAACTCAGCAGCAAGGGGATGGCCCACGCCATTCTTAAGGGGTCCACCTTCATGCTCCGAATACCTCCCACTAGGCCCCACCTTCAGCATTGGGGATTACATTTCATCATAAGATTTGGACGGGGACAAATATCCAAACTACATTACCCATTTATATGATTTTAGTAGTATGGGAATGTCCATGAATAAATTCTTGGACAGCCTCATAGCTTCTCCATGAATGGCATGGGTTACTTATGGAAAACAGTTTTCCAAGGATCTGATTGTTTTGAAACATGTTGGATTGGACCTGTTCATATTGTTCATATTTTTGTTCAATGCTAAATGCATTGTTAGGGGAGTATTGGTAAATATTCTAGAATCCATATGAAATTCATGAGTTTATGTCCAAAACACTGAAAACTGTGTCCAATATTGCTCAGTTTCCTGGGTCTTTTTCTTATTAGCACATTTGCAAAAAAAAATTCCTTTCCTTTAGTGTAGTAAATCTATTAAAGGCAATAGCCAATGAAACATTTTTAATTTAAAATTTTTACTGTGTTTGGCTTTCTGTAAATATAGTGGGTCTATTAAACAAAATATTAAATTTCCTTAGTACCAGAAATGTTCTAGAGATTTCTCATTGGAAGAAAAAAAATGTATTTATCTGTATTCATTGTTCTGAGAGCTTCCATGATAAATGTGAAATCCGTAAAGGAGATATTCAATTATACATTATGAAGATTCCCTTATCTCTCTGTATTAGTCTGCTCTTGGGTTTCTATAAAGAAAGACCTGAGGCTGGGTAATTTACAAGGCAAATAGGTTTATGTTCTACGGCTGTACGGGAAACATGGCACCACATCTGCTCCTGGTGAGGGCCTCAGGAAGCTTACAATTGTGGAAGGCAAAGGGGAAGCCGGTGTGTCACATGGTGAGAGAATGGGGAGGTCCCAGACTCAAACAACCAGCTCTCATGTGAACTGAGAGAGAACTCACTCATCACCAAGGGGATGATGTTAAGCTACTCATGAAGGATGTACCCAAATACCTCCCATGAGGCCCCACTTTCAACATTGGGGATTATGTTTCAACATGAGATTTGAAGGGAACAATCATCCAAGCCATATCACTTATCTCTTTATATAATTACAAGTCTTAAGGCCATGCTAGTACATAAGAAAAATAAGAACCACAATCTGCAGAGCATTTTAAATGTGCTCTTGGCATCTTGGTAAATGCTTTTCGTATGTAACTATTGGCCCTTAGAGCATGGCTGTGAGGTGTTGCTATTGTTCTATGGGCTACATGTGCTAGTGTTAGCTATTCCCTACTGGAAAAGCTGAAGCCAACTCTTGAAGAACTGAGTTTTTAAGAGGGTTGAGTAGCCTGCCCTTCCCACTTTGGGACTGTAACCACACCCTGAACAGTGCTGAAATGTTTGGGTACTGTGATTAGTTCAAGTGGACTTAGGTAATCTATTGGAGTCTGAGGTTTCTTACATATTTCACGGGAGGCATATCTTGTTACTCCTTGGAACAAAAGTAAAGGGAAAATGTTCTTCTAAAACATTTTTAAACCAAATATTTGTGTAATCAAAGGATTTTAATAAAAATTTCAAACAAAGACCATCAAAGGGTCAAGACTAGAGTGGAAAGCAACTCTCTTCTCTAGGGTGTTTTTTCTGTAGAGGCAGCTTGGAGCTCAGTGAGAAACCACAGAGTTAAATGATTACCCTCTGCCTTCCTGATTAAGAACAGGCTGTGCTCTGCAGTTTGATTAGTCTTGCTTGTAACTATGGGATTACAGCTTATTAAAACTGACAGTGTTGTGTAGGGCAGGGAGCCTGGAAGGTCAAACTTCCCATGCTGAGCCAGCCACCAGCAAGACTCGGCCTTTACCTTAAAGTTCGGTATGATTGGCATTCATTTTAATATCCTTTTTCTCCACTTTCTTTTCCACCTTTGTGTCTCTTACTAATTTTACACCTTTTCTTTCCTTGCTTCCTCATGAGGCTCCCTGATTTGTGAGCACAAAACCCAAATAACAGTGGGCAAAGAAGAATGAAACAAGCCCAGTGTAAACAATGTGAATTAGCATAATCATGCACTCGTTCCTCCCAAAAATCCTGCTTCATGCCTCCAGTTTAGGTGTAAATATATAGCACCCTGCCCTCCGCCCCACCTTTTATTCTCAAAAGTGCTGGCCAAGTGAGCCATCCCCACCCCTAATGTAAGGGGCAGAGATGATCAAACTAGAGAACAGGTGCCCTTCTAAACGGAACAGCTGCTACCCACCCAGCTAATTGCTGCTGTGGCCCCAGTGCTGCCAGATATTTCAGTCTTTCAGGAAAAGCCAAAAATCTGGGTTTTCAGGTGAAATTTCACAATTTTTAAATGCTGGGTTAATTTTTAAACTATTCTGCTAGCCAAACAAAACTTAGGGGTGCCTAGTTTGCAACCTCTGGCTTAAAATCTGGAAGAAGGGCTATGGCATCTTTAGCATTAAAAAATTTCTCAACAACTGATCGCAATATACAGAAAATACACCTGTAGTTTCTCGTTCCTGCAGCTGTTTACAGATTCCCACATTAGGAGATCCCATGTTTTCCCATCTCCATTGCAGGAACCCGGGATAACTCCTAGAACCGTTCTAAATCTGCCAAAAGGGAAGGTATGCAGAATCTTATTCAGCCTATTTTATGGATGAGAATTTTTTTTTCTCTCCATTTATTTATTTTATTGCATTTTAGGTTTTGGGGTACATGTGAAGAACATGTAAAATTGTTGCATAGGTACACACGTGGCAGTGTGATTTGCTGCCTTCCTCCCCATCACCTACATCTGGCATTTCTCCCCTTGCTATCTCTCCCCAGCTCCTCACCCCCCACCATCCCTCCCCTATTTCCCCCCAACTGACCCCAGTGTGTAGTGCTCCCCTCCCTGTGTCCATGTGTTTTCATTGTTCAACACCCGCCTATGAGTAAGAACATGTGGTGGTTGATCTTCTGCTCTTCTGTCAGTTTGCTGAGAATGATGGTTTCCAGGTTCATCCATGTCCCTACAAAGGACCCAAACTCATCGTTTTTGATGGCTGCATAATATTCCATGGTGTATATGTGCCACATTTTCCCTAGTGGATGAGAAATTTTAAGTCTAGAGAAGAAAGACTAGCAGTTGGCTGTGTCTTTCCTCTTGGGAGTGTCTTTGTTCAGGCTGCTATAACGAAATACTATAGACTGGGTGGCTTAAAACAAAATAAGTTTATTTTTCACAGTTCTGGAGGCTGGAAGATGAGGGAGGCAGCATGGGCAGGTTCTAGTGGGGGCCCTCTCCCTGGTCACAGACTGCTGTTGCATTTTC